GCGAATGGAGAAATCGAAGAACAGCTCATAGCTCGTCTACCTCCACTTCGCCTTCCCAACAAGGAAGTTGACTCGTCATCAGACCAGGAAGACGTTTTACCAACTCCTGTCATGGTGCCTAACCCGGAGGCACGTTGCAATCGGCTGGGTCGATTCAAGCTGCGCCCAGCCAAGCGGTAGAGAGGCAAAACCACTCAGAGGGGAGAGCCATCCAATGAGCCACCCAATCCGGTTCCTGAGCCCGAGAGAGAAGAGCCACCCAATCCGGTTCCGGAGCCCTCGCATGATTTGTCAGTGGAAGGGCAAGCGCTCACAGTGCAGAGGATGTTGAAATGGAGGCAGCGCTCGAAGAACTCATCGACAACATGCCGCATGAAGATGAGGTGGAAGAAAATCCATTCCAGCATAGTCCGTTCCGATGAGAGAAGCCTGTGCGTGCGCTGACTGTGTCCGTCTAGATTCTCTGCTGCATTGTGTTTCTGTCTTGCATTATCACCCTTGGGGTTCATTCTTGCAGCTGCGCAATAAAATCGGTCCCGTGGTAGTCTCTCCTATAGTCTATCCTGTGAAGCCATACCTGGCGCCATTGCTTCTGTGACCGTATGGTTGCAAAGCGGAACAACCTTCCAGTCCCAAAGAAAGGCAAGCTCCGTTCCGTGCTGAAGCGGCCCGCGCCCTCAAAGACAAAGGACTGGGAAAAGGTCCCGTATGTTCGAGGCTCGGAAGCTTCTCCACTTCTTCGCCATGGTCGCTGCAAATGGAAGAGATCCTTGACGGAGATTTTGACAGCGTCCCCAGCATCTTTGGTGGCAATGCTTCGAGAAGATGGCCTTCTTCATTCTTGGGAAGGGTCTACATGCCCTCACTGCCAAGAAGGGACTCTTGGGAAGCTGATGGCTGGTGGACTGAAACATCGATGCTCTTCCCGGAAGTGCCACAAGTTTGTGAACCCACACCAGAACCATCCTCTTTTTGCGAACCACTGGGGCTCTTCGTCTACACCACTGGCTACCCAAGCAGCCCTTCTTCTACTTCTACTCAATCGCATTCCTCACGCCGCAGTTCATCGTCTCCTACACATCAACCACAAAACCATTGAAGATATGAGCAAGAGATTGGGCCAGTTGCGGGAATCCTGGGTTGTCAAGGCTGAGAAAAAGATTCGCTTTGGCACTGGTGTGAAATGGGCTGATGTAGAAGCGGACGAGGCAACCTTCGACAAAAAGATGGAAAAGGGACAGCTACACTGGGAGCAATGGTGTGGGATAGTTCAGCGAGGAAAGCCTGATACACTTGTGCTGCACCGCCCCAAACCTCCAGCCTCAAAACTCCGAGCGCCTGGGCCTGGAGCCGTTCGCAAGGTTGAATGGGAAATTGTGGCTGCAAGATCGGCAAATCATTCTCCATACAGATTCTGCCAAAAGCTATGCCACCAGTGTCTCTGGAGTCCTGCACGACCGAGTCGTACACAAGAAGAAGAGAGTCAAAGTGAACGGGAAGTTCAGGTGGGTGGCTCCGACGTATGTGCAGATCCACAAGCACAAGGTTCCTGGCAGCAAGACGTCTGTAAAGGTGAAGTCAGGCACCCAAATTCATCGACCGCTGCTGGCGCTATCTAAAGGATAGGTTGAACATCAACCAGCACTCCAAAGTGGGAAGCGGTTTCTTGCGCATGCAATTACGGTCAGCTCAATATGAGTATTGGCTGAGGGGTCAAGACCTTTGGACCGCAACTGGTTCATTGGTCAAATGGTTCATGTCAGAGTCCTAGCGCAACGAAACAAGGAAAAATGTGTGTGAGGGTTTTCGTCTATGTATGCATCTTGCTGCTCCAACACTGTCTGCATCTTGCTTCTCTAACATTGGTCCCTGTCTTCTCTTTGTCTGCTTCGTCTGTTGGATTCCAATGACTTCAGGCAACTTTTCCCCTGCAGGATCTACACTTGGCTTCTTCATTTCCAATGCATCCAAAACCGTTTCCTTGCATCTGATGCACTTCTGCCTCCGTTTTTCTCAAATACGTCTTGGAAACACCATCAAATGTGGATCTCAGGGGGGGGTAGCATATATATATATATATATTTTTTATTCTATTCTAGCCTACTCTAGTCTAGTCTAATCTGGTCTAATTTTATTTTATCTTGATTTAACTTGGGCTATGAGCAGAAGCCAATGTCACCCATGCATCAAAAATCAGCAGATGTGTGGCCCCACGGGCTTATGAACCCACAAATTCTGCGACCTGGAAAGGTTTGGGTTCCCCATGCCGATTCCCGACTGCCCAAGGGCCTGCCCCAGTCTCCAAAAACATATGGATTTAACATGGTCTTGGAGTTCGTCAGTTCCTTCTTTTTTACCTATAGGGGCTAGCGATGTCCTCCAACCTATTACCAATACCCTCCAACCTATGATTCTACAGTGGAATTAGCTCATCAAATCCTCCAAACATGAATGATTGAACCTTTGTTTGCAATACTATCTGGGTATTTTTGGCACGGTGTTTCTAAGTGCTGTCTGTAGGTTCCAAAGTTGTGGGTTCTGCACAAAAGGGACACAAACGTTTACTCCTGAACTTTCACTCTTGCCGTTTTTGCGGTTGTGTTCTACAACATTTCAAGTGGCAGATTACTCACGTATTTGCGTGTGGGAAGCACGGAAGGCCATGTGCGGACCGAGAAGTGGAATCTAAGATGGGGATTGTTGCCGAATTTACGCAGAGAAAGCAGCTGCTGTTTTTGTCCACAAGATTTGTTGACCTGCTCAAGAACTGGTTTGTCATTCTTCCCCCCACCGTGGTGTTGAATACTTGTGATATTTTCCAGGGTGTTGTGCAAGTAAGGTTGGACTTCACCAGAGAAGGTGCTGAGAAACTCAACCCAGCGTTGTCGTGTTTCTTGCGCCGCGGATTATGCCAAGGCAACCTGGGACCAGCTTGCACAAATCACAGCCCCACGCACTTTGCCACCTATGAGCACCCCGGCAGGGCAATGGTGGAACGCACCAAGGACTTGCGCGGCGTAAGTGCTGCATATTGCCTGATGTTGCTTGCAATTTTTTTGTGCCAAGGCACCCCTGGATGAAACCGGGCCCAGAAGTGGTTCTGCCCAAGAACAAGGTGAAGCCGAAATAAGTTGATCTCACAGATCGACACCGACCCAAGTCCTGCAACGAGTTCATTGGCCGTGACGGATTGCGATTGTGAGGGCTTCCTCCACCAAGGTGCTTACGAAGCATAACCTCTCGCAAAAAATGCTGCAGCCTTGGTGTAAAGAGGAAAATGCATGGGCCGTGCACAGATTAGCCAACAGGGATCTTGGACCTGATCCGAAGTTTGGGATCAGCCAAGGGGAGCGCTTCGTTGCGATCCAAAGCTTGGTCGCGAGAGGATCGGAGAAAGAGACCGCCGAAGTGCTTCTGATAGATTGCCGAAGTGACGCAGTGACTAAAATCAATTAGACAGGGATTTGTTGAGAAAAGGACTGACCAATGTCGAAAGACACCTAGGACCTATACTACATCTACATATTGTCACTGCCCACCAGAAAATGCCGGGAACTTTGGGATGAGATATCCTGTGATTGCCAGGCATGCGGATGAGCATGCTTGGCACTTCTGCAAAGAAAATCCAGGCGGGTGGATGATGAAGGGAAGAGGGATGATGTGTGGAAACTGGTAGTGCTTGATGTCTACTTCTCCCAGAATTTGGCTCCCCAAAGTAGGTGGCGTTCAGTTAGCCTTGTGCAGGGCATCGATCGTTGCCATGACTTGAGTTGAGACAGGCTACCTTTACAACGGTGGGCCTTTTGGGAGCCCAAATTAGCGCCAATAGGGGGCACTGTTTAGATTCGATAGGCTTCAGAAGAGCCACACCACACTTGTGGATATGCACTCTTGCAGGTTGGAGGCCATCGCGACGAACGGAGCGATCGGACGCTACGAACGGGGCTCCTGGCCATCGCTACTAGTAACAAGAAGCCCCGTTCGTAGCGTCCTTGCTCCTAGTAGTAAGGCCAGGAGCCCCTAGTAGCTTCCGATCGCTCCTAGGATAGCGTGTAGCAGGTAGCGCTTCCCATAATTCAGATCTTCCGAGTTCGACCGGTTCGCGGCGTCGCAGTCGGCCTGGCGGGTCTACTTGATGCGGAGCCTCTTCGTGATGATCCGCCAAAGGGCGATCATGATCCAGGCAGAAACAAAGAAGCAAAGAAGGTGTATCATGTTGTTCATGTCAATGTGTACTTTTGTGTTTCTTCTTTTACTGTAGACCTTTTTGGTTTTTTGGGGGGGGATTTCTAGCATTAGAAAAATACATGAGGTAGGTCAAGGGGGAGGGTCAAACAAAAACACCTGTGACCTGTGACTATTTGACCTGTGAATTTGGAAAGTGATGGTGTTCCTCGGAAATCCAATTCAGCCTGAGAAGCTCCGTCTTAAAACGACCAGAGCGAGAGCAACCAGTTCCCGAGCTTCCAACACACAGCTTCACAATCACAAAAGAACACCCAATAGCAGAGCCCCTTCCATTCCGCTTCAAGGCGATGTGGCGCCGCTATTTCGCCAAGCTCCATGTTTGGAACATGATGAAACCCGCCCAGCGTCGCCGGAGCCTCCTCTTCCGCGCCTACCTCGAGAAGAGCCTCGGCTGTCCGGGAAAAGCGCGACCTCGAAGAGGAAAGTCCCAATCGAACAGGTAGGAAACCTCATCTGTTTTAAGAAAGCTACTAGTAGCAAAGTGCCTTACTAGTAGTAACAGGTGCCTTACTAGTACTAACAAGAAAGCTATTAAATAGAAACAATTTGATTCTACACGACCTCTTCGGAAGCTGGAGATGAGTAAAGACAAGGAACTGACTGGGAGCAATGTCATGCCCAGCTGCTACTGATCCAATTCTGTGAAATCATGTCCTCGTAATGCATCTTTGTATGGACGTTGGACGGCATAGGCAGAAACAACTGCAGCCAACTGAGCTCAAAAGTCCTGGAACACCTTGGAGCGGAAAGACATGACGACGACAGAGCAAGAGAGGCAGGATGAGGGGCGATTCTGGCAAGAAGCTACATCGCAAGTAGGTTGGAGGCCATCGCTACTAGTAACAAGAAGCTACTAGTAACGAGGGCATTACTACTAGGAAAAAGAAGCTAGGGCCTGGACCCAGAGAGGGGGGTGAAACGCACGAAGAAATGACTGACGAGAAGCCGAGAAACAAAGGCGACGAGGCTTTGACACCAGACGAGGCTTGCCGACGAGCCGCCTTTGACTCACCAAACTCGATGCCCTGAAAATTCAACTCCTGTGATCAATGTGAAGGAGAGCTTCAGCGACCAAACTGGAAGCTAGCAGCTAGTTGCGGGGGACAATGAAGCGCCCCTCTGGTTTCCAGGTTGTGGGATGGTTTCCGTTGGAATTTGGAATTTGGAGTGCAGCGGGCTAGACGAGCGAATCCGCCATGGCTTTTAGGGGTAGTCGGCAGCCATGGGCCAGAACTTCTACCTTTGCATCCACATTGTTTGCATGCAGCAATTGAGTTGTTGGCGATTGTAACAAAACTCCAAAAACAAAAGCTGAGCCCGAGCCCCCGCTTTGTAGCTACAAAGATGGGCACTGAAGACTTTGGCCTGTGTGCACCCTCTCCCACCAACTCCTGTGCGCAGGCTAGCTCAAGTTCCGACAGTATGTCAGACATAATGGGCCCTTTCTTTGTGCAACGCTACGGTCCAGACGGGTCCATCAGCTGTAGACCAGGGGGCACACGGTCAATTGACCATCCAGCAGCCGTTTCGTGCAGGGCAGTGCTCCTGGAGCAGTTGCAGCACCGCTGTAGGCTTCACCTGCTACTTTGCCGCTTGGAGGCGGGTTTCCATGCGATTCTTCTGGAGCAGATGGCCGAAGTGGAAACCAAAGCGGAGTGGGATGCACTGCGGTGTTTCACGGAGCCTCCTCCAGGTTGGCAACATTTTTGGCCATAGCACAGTGTCCATGGCCACTGTTTTTCGCAGCATCTCATCGTTTTTCGCTGCCAAAGTCATGCTCACTGATCACCAAATGCAACTGCCATACATATGCAATACATACGCAGTACCAAGCAGATTTGGGAAGTGTGGATATCCCCAACCAAGGAACAGATGGGCATCAACGTATCCCAGGACAGGTTCGCGTACCAGCTGCAAGCACAGCTCGTACAGCCACGAACAATGTCAGCCCAAGAATGGCATTTTGGAGAGCGACGACGCAAAGACGCAATTCCCTTTCCCTTGTCATGAACATGAGGAAGCCCTTTTTCTTGGTGAAAGTGGCGCCATGTGGCTTCTATTTTGTAAAAATAAGTGTTTGAACAGCCATGCCATGTTGCGTGTAGACTGTGGCCACTGTGCCACAGTGATGAGCTCGCTGTTTGGTTCCTGGGGGAAGAGTTTGTGTTTATGGGGTTGCCTAAGCTGCCCTGCCCCTCTCGCCGTCCTCTCCGAAGGGAGAGTTTTGTCATATTTTGTGTTTGAAACCGCAGCCCGTGCCGCGGATTCTCGCAGCTGCCTCCTAATAGGAGATGTTGCTGCCCTAGTCTTCAGGGTGGCTCCACTTCGGTCTTGACTGAACCAAAGACTCTAGAAAGTGAAATCACTTTGGGGCATCATCTTGGAATCCTTCACCTTTTTGTTGGCCCTACCTTAAATAAGAGGCGGCACACTCATCCTGTTATCGCAATCCATCCTTTTCGGCGACGGGCACTTGGCTCCACGCCCCACGTGATCGACCGTGGAGTACGGTTTTGGCCCTCACCCTCTGAGTTTTGTGGCTCCAAAGTCTCGGGATTTTGGACGGCCATCCGAAACCGACGCCGCAGCGAAGAAGCGCGGGCAAAATGGAGAAGGTGTGGACTCCAATGCGGAGCAAGTGGGGCAGGTTGGGAGAAGACCGAAAGTCGGACCCTTTGCAAAGTGTTTATCTTCTATACAACGTGTATAATGTTTAGACCATGTTCTTAGTCTTTGATCATCTTTTGTGCAAAGTTGTTCTTACGCAACCTTGTGTGTATTGGCCTCGTGTAGCGTGTGTTGCGCCTTTGTGGCCCCTTTGGCTCAGCGAGTGGTGCGACGAAGTGTGGGTGTCCGCGCTCTGTGATGTCTCATGCTCAGCAGGCTTCGAGGCGCATCGAAGACATCTCTCATACAGGAGCCCCTAGTAGCGTCCTGGCTCCTAGTAGCGATGCCAGGAGCCCCTAGTAGCTTCTTGTTCCTAGTATACCTTCTCAGACAAAGTTAGTCATATTGTTTGACCTCAATGTTCCTCATCCACAGGATCAACATGGATCCAATTGACCAGTAATCATTGTATGGTTTGTGGTTGGAACCACCAAGCAGATGATGTCTCTTGATTCTCTTTGCGGTTCGCGGTTCTGCTAGTGAAATGGGGTCCTAAATTCTGTAGTGCAAATTTCTGTGTTGGTTTCTAAACGCGCTACACCCCATCCGCAACCATTCGCTTGTTTTGACAGTAGAATGGCTTGTGACCTTGGGGATGACAGCAGTGCTTGATGTTAGCAAGTTGAGTGTAGTAGCGTCCTTGCTACTAGTAGCGATGCCCTTTGTTTCTAGTAGCTTCTTGTTCCTAGTAGTAATGAACTTGTTACTAGTAGCTTCTTGCTCCTAGTAGCGATGCAGCTTGTTACTAGTGGCTTTTTGTTACTAGTAGTAATGCCAGGAGCTACTATATAGTAGTGGTTAAAACCATAGCTGAAGCGACACGCCCTGTGTCCACCTGTGTCTAGCAAGAAACCTGCATGCTGCACACATTGCAAGAGAGTTTGGCGGCAAAAGCCGTTCGCGTCACCAATTTTTGAGCTTCCAAAAGGCAGTGGCAAAGCCCGGCTTGGACCCCACACAAAACACACAAAACAGTTAAGCAGGTTCCCCAAAAAGATCTAGGAAGCAAACCATTAGTGCGAGCGCTATCCTGCGTCCAGTAACTCGTAGCTTATTTGTAGGTACTAGCTAGCTAGCTTCAACTAGCTGCGAGCTACCTACCTCACCGACCTCTACTCACGACCTACCCCGCCCCCCCAAAACAAAAAAAACATGAAAAGAGTTCCACGGGCCAAGTTGGGGAGTTCCCGGTGTCGACGATCGCGACGGTGGAGGGCATCGCTTCTTCAGTTGCAGCAGCGCTGCATGCTTTACGAGAAGCTTTGCCGGGCACAGTCGGCTTTGCAAGCGAGACTTCTAGAGCGTATGGCCCAAGTGGAGGACCAGGCAGAGTGGCATACATGCAAATGCTGCGCAGAAGCTCAGAAAAGAAAAGATTCGGTGTGTTGAAGTGCGGGGACATGGGCGTGCTCTTCCAACAAGACAAAACTCTCCCACTTCTGTCAAAGTGCACACACACCCCAAGCACGCCCATGTGCCCTTCCAAGTTGACCCTCCCCTTTACAGGTATTGGAAAATGTCCTGGATTTTTGTTGGTGTGGTCATGACGAGTGAAGTTCAACTGGACATGTTTCGCGGCTAGAGGCTACAGCTTGTACATTTGTGACTTGTGCTCCCAGCATTGGCCGAGAAGCGAGGAACGGATGATGTCATCATCAGAAGACAGGTTTATGCATCAGCTGCGGGCATCAGTGCTCTTGAATGAGCTCTTACAGCCACAAGACGTACCACACTAGGGAGGAGAAGTGACGTCCACTGGTTTGAGTGAGACGATCGAGCTTTTCTTGACGGGACTCAGAGGGACAATGAATTTGCGATGCGACTGTAAGTGACGCAGTTACATTCCACCCTAAGAGTGATGGCCTCCAACCTACTAGCGATAAAGTGACACAGTTACATCGCCAGGTACCCAGTGTCATCCACTGACGTCGTTTCCTTTGTCGAACTCGCCGGTTCCCAGGATGGTCATGAGGTGGCTGGCAGGCTTGGCCCATTTCTCAAACCGAAACAAATGCCGTTGGAGGTTCTTCACAAATTGGTCCAACAAGAACCAGATATAATATATAGGTTTTGAACATCACACAAAAAATAATCCTACACCATCAAGCTGTTGTGTCATGATGTGTCATTCGATGCGTGGGAGTCCATTGCGCCTGAACATGGGTTCATCCGCGGCTACAAATGGTCGCATCTCTTCCACGCATCCTCTCGGCACAAAGGAGAGAGCCAAGAGGAATGCCAGCACCCGGGTCAGCCTGAGGTGTGTTGTGGTGTGTTTGTTGTGCCACTCCTTGGACTTGGGCTTCGACATGGCTCAAGGACATGGAGTGGCTCAACCCAACCAAGTTTAAGGACTTGGTCAAAAGCAACCTGAAAGGTTGTTGTATCTTGAATGGCTCAAACTCTGTTGAATTCCAAACCAGACATCTTTCTAGGACAAGAGGAGCCAGATATAGCGATGAGAGTCAAGAGATGTTTTGAGCCACCTGTTTCTGCGCCCCAGTGAGCAAGCGCACAAAAGCGATCGTCATTCAGGGATGATGGGTGCGCGACAGGATTGGCAGTGAAGCGCAATATGCACATTCCCACACTTCTTTTGGTGATCAAAACCAATTCCCCTTGTTTGATGGCTTGGCACTGACGCATCAACACGGAGCCGCAAATCTGCCATCATTTGCCCCACTCCGATGAGTTGAATCCTCCAGATCCACTGAAGGTGTCGACCAACCACGCGGCACGTTGATACTCGCCGTCGACGCTGAGGAATCCTCACGCGGCCAAGAGCACGGGTGAGACGGACTCGGAGGAGGCGAGTGGGGACCGGAACAGTGTGGGGACTCGGAAACTGGACTCGGGTGATGGACGTGTTATTTGGCATCTCTTGGCATACGTTCTGCTTCAGGACTCAGAAGGGAGGGGTGCTACAAGCATGCATGAGTGGAAGTATGGAACTGATCCAAACGACTGCTTCTAAGGGCACCTTTTCGATCCAGGTGCTCCCAGGCCGGCAAAATGCTCATGCATATACATCATGCGCTGGGTCAGGAAATATGGCCTTCGCCCTGGGATATGTCTTTGGAAATTGCTCTTTCGCCCTCTAAAACCAATGCAATTGAGCTTTTAGCGGAAGAGGACCCAGCCCAGCTCACACTGTTCTCCCCCTAAAGTCCACCCAAGACTTTCGATTTGCCTAGCGATTTGCGTCGCTCCATTTCACCAGGAACGGGAGCTGCAAGCAGAACGAGAGCGCCTGGAGAGGCTGAAGGCCACCCGAGAAGAACAGGCACCGACCGCCTTCGTTTCGCCGTGCGGCGAAACGGATGAGTTCAGCCGGTTGGGAGCAGCGAACGGATGAGTTCCTCCGATCCTGGAGACATATGTAGAAACAAGAAGCTAGTAGAAACAAGTGCATCGCTACTAGAAACAAGTGCCTTACTAGTAGTAACAAGAAGCTATTAGTTAATTTAATTCGATTTATATAGTTTAATTCTAATAGCTTCTTGTTACTACTAGTAAGGCACTTGTTACTAGTAGCGATGCACTTGTTCCTAGCAGCGAACGGATGAGTTCCTCCGATCCTGGAGACATATATGTGTGTGTATGCTGCGGGTGGAGTGTGATGTTGCTAGCATGCTGGGCATCCGGCAGGAGCGCCAGCGAAGGGAAGAGGAACAACGTCAGAAGGAAGCAGAGGACCTCGAAAAGATTGCGAAATGAGCCTTCGTTTTTCCTGTGGCTCATAAGATTCCATCATAGCATTGATGTTGGTCGCCCAGACTCGAGGCGTTGCAAAAGCTTAAATCATATGACCCTGAGAATCAACTAAAACTCGCGCAGACGACCTGTAGTCATCTTGGTTCGGCCACTCGGCTTTTTTCGCACCTTTAGGCCACTTGCCAGGAACGCCGCCTGCGCGAGGAGGAAGAGGAGCGACAACGTTTGGAAGCAGAGCGGAACCTTGGTTCCAGGAAGCTACTAGTTACTAGGTGGAGGCCATCGCTACTAGGTTGGAGGCCATCGCTCACCAATGCAAGTCTCCGTCTGGGCCAGTCCAAGCAAGTGTGCTAGAAAACCCGACGGAAGACAAGCGCACGTTGCAAGCGTTCATGGCGGGGATGCTTGCTGATTGATGCTACGGTCACTCTACATCGTCGACATCCAAATGCAAATGGGAACAAAATGCCAGAGCTCGGATGTAGCTAAAATGACTAGACTGATGACTAGAGGGATTCTTGTTCGTAGCCAGGAGTGATGGATTGTGGTACTTCCGTCGCTGTGACAAGATTTGCTGAGGATCCGCCTGGAGGAGGAGGCGGCTGAGCGACGCCGGCAGGAAGAGCTGTCCCTGGGCGTACGGAGAATTTGGCATGAGGAATTCGGATGGAACTGGCCCTGATTTCAGGGCCCACCCTGTTGAACAGCCCTGTTAAAACCCGACCGGGTTTTCGTTTCTCCAAGGCAACGCCTGGAGCAGGCCAAGCAACAGGCGGCCGAGGAGGAGCGACAGCGTGCCGAAGAGCGGCCTGGCAGAGACGCCACGGCGATCACGGCATGGTGTCCGTATTTCAAGACGTTCACAATGACCGAGGCTTGGTATATGTTTGTATCACAACATGGGATTCAGGCATCAGGTCATCGCCGGCCAGAAAATATAGGACAGGACATATGCGCGCATACAGCCCAAGCCTACCTTTAAGGGGTTCTAGCAGAATCTGTCTAGGATCACAATGGACACCAGATGTTTGCTTGAACTCAGGTATGTCTCTAGGCTATTCCCTGTGGTCCTCCGCATCATTGGAGACGCACCCGGAGAAACCACAACACCAGTTGCACGGGGATTGATTGGACCTGATGGAAATTCCTTCAGCCCGTATTGAGTATTTGACATGCATGTATTTGCAAAGAAAGCCAAGGCACTTGCACTTTAGTTGCTATATGTTGCAGTGCTTGAATTCTTCAACAGTGATGTTCTGTGCCTTGCCAAGCGATTGAACACTCACCGTTGTCTTTGGCACCGGTCAACCGACTGAGACTTCGGCTGGCGACGGAGAAGGCCTTCGAAGAGGAGAAGGCCGGAACGGAACGGAAACCGCTCAAAAACCAGTTAGGCACTTGTTTCTACTAGCTTCTTGTTACTACTAGTAAGGCACCTGTTACTACTAGCGTGGCACCTGTTACTACTAGCGTAAAACCAGAAATCGAATGCTTAATGCTGTGTTGGGGGAAAGCTTCAGTATAGATAGAAACGATTCTACGGCGGGCGTCCATTCTCAAAAGAACGCTAGTGACTCGCCAACTAGAAAAATGAAAGTAAACCTTTAGTTTCCTCGTGCAGAAACGCAGGTGCCAGCGATTGGCTTTTAAAATGCCTTCTTTGCCTTCCTTACCCAAGTCTGTTTTGACATGTGCAGCTGTCCTGTCGCAGGCGCAGCTGGTACTGCAGCACAATGAAGAGCTTCGTCAACTTAGGAAGCAGGCACCTTCCGCACGTGTTAGATGAGTTTGTTCCATGGGTGCTGTGGTGAAAAGAGCGAATGCTTCATTGTTTTTGCATGCCTTTAAAAAGCAGTCTTCAACACGTTTTGCGGATGTTGTGCGGACTTTTAAGGGAGACTCTGAGAGAAAACGGTCAGCTTCAGGTGGCGGCAAGCCAAGATGAGCAAGAGGTCGCACGCACGGAGCACCAAGGGGAGCTCCTCAGAATGATGCTCGGCTTGGGCGTCGGGAAGCGGGAATCGATGATGTCACCTCACCGTTCGTCCGAGGAAGGAAGAACTGGAGACCCAAGGGAAGAATGTGGAAGAGCAGGCAGTCCGAAAGCTGAGCCTGGCGCTGTCTTGAGAATCGTCCAATCGCTGGTGCTTTGTTTAGTCCAGCGGTTGCGGATGAGGATCGGCACAGGTGTTCCAAGTGTCACACCTTCCACACGTCTTCGCACTGCTTGACCCATCGGCGTAATGAGCATCGAGCCGACTCGGCCAGTGGCTTTGTTGTGATTTCTGGGTTCGTTGCCCCAGGGATCGTTACATACCCAGCCTAGGCCTAGCCCGCCGCCCCCGCCTCAGCCCAGCCTCCACGCGGTCGCGAAGGCCAAGCAGCACGAGACGCAGAGCAACACACTGAACGAGCGAATCCAAGCCTTGGAGGAGGAGCGGACGTCGGATTTTAGGCGATGTCATTCCAAAGGGCGGGACAAGGCAACTTCAGGTGTTCTGTCATGTTCTGTCCCATCTCCTCGTGAAGTTTGTCGTCTCCGCACCTTGCGAGGAGAATGCCCGTGAAAAGCTCAGCCGAAGCGGAATGCGAAGTGGAAGTTTTTGGAACAACGATTCAGAGAACCAAAGGCGAAGGCAAACTGGCGTGGTTTGCAACCCATGACAACTCCCAAACTTGCATTGCTAGTTGAAGGGCATGTCGTTCCACACTCCACACGCATGTCGCTCACCCCCCACACTTGTCGAGCTTTAAGGCTTACGAGCTCAGCTTCAAGAACAATCTGATCAGCACGCCGCGCAGATGCAGGAGCCGTTGCATGGCTTGTGATTCGAGGCTCAGACCTGAAACACAGTGCGAGACCGCCCATTCCTTAAGCTTAGCCGGCTTAGCCTTAGTGAAATGGGCAGTCGAGACGGAACTCGATCATTTCAATTCTTCGGCATGAAATGGATTGTCGAGTTTCGCACGGGTACTCCAAATGTTCGATAGAGATCATATTCATGGGCAAAGCACTGATACGAACTACTTTCAATCGTGACCGTTTGAATGACTGCTTTGAAAATCCATGCCAAAACGTGTTCCCATAAAGTAATACATGCTTGCAACCAATGCCGGCCACAGCTGAAGCGACTGAACTTCGAGGAGTTGGAGGCTGCACACCATGAGCAGCAGACCGCTCAGCAGGAGCAGCTGGAGACACAACGCCAGGCCTAATGGATGCGGAACATGCCGCCGGATATTCCTAGGCGCTGACCGTTAGGCCCGTTAGGCTCAGGTGGTCACGGATTCACATCCACATCCTTCACATCCTTCGTCTGAAAAGATTGATCTCAGTCGCCAAGTGCAAGAAGTTAGTAGGTGGAGGCCATCGCTACTAGTAGCAAAAAGCTACTAGTAACTATATAACATAGTGTTGTTTGATCCGACGAGCCGCAAGGCCTATGTGCGGCAGATGGAGGAGATGCGAGAGTCCCTGGACGAGCAGCACCGCAAGGATAGGAACTCCGTGGCCCAAAAAAGCCTCGTACGGCGTGCGTCGTGATGTGTCATTATTTGGGAGATTCTTGTTTACAGGCACGCCCAGATTTTCCATGTTTTGCGCATTCGGCCGATGCTAAGATTTTTGCCTTCAACTGTGCGCGCAAGTGATTCTGGAACTGTCACTGTAGGGTGTACAGCCAGAAAGTCTAGGCTCTTTTTCGTCAGGAGCAAGACACGTTGAAGTCCCAAGAGCAGGAGCAGAACCAGCGCTTCCAGGACGGTCACAGTTCCTCGTGCAACTCTAGAGACCTTGAGAGAATGAACTGGCTCGGCGATACGGAAAGCGTGTTTATCCTCGGTTTTGTTTATCCTCAAAGTGTACGCTCCGAGGTTTGATCAAACTTCCTTTCTGGTCGTACGCGCAGGAAGAGCTTCAGCAGTTGCGTGAACGTGAAGCACAACAACGGCAGAAACATGAGGAGCAGATGAAGGAGATGAGGTGCGACCAAGTGGTTGGGAGGATCAACAGCTGTATGGCAGACCACATGGATCCAGGTTATATGGTCACCGACCTTCCTCACACGAAAGCGGCGAATTCGCAGGAAGATCCCACTTTTTCAGGTGCTGCGCTAGCTTTCGGGGGGACGGACGCGCCCCATGTCTTTCTTTGGCCGAGCCGAACTCATTTGTTCCACTCGTACTGGGCCTTGCCGCACACGAGCGGGATCGGATCCAGGGCTCGGGAAGAGGAGAGGCAGCGGAAAATTCAGGAAGATCTGGGGGAGGTGCGGAAGGAGACGGATGGGAGTTGCAAGTCGTGTTCCGGAATTGAAGGCGCAGGTGACAACTTGAGTGTGGATCAAACACATCTAGGTAGCAGTTTCCATATTCGCTCTCTTAGTCTTAGACTTTTCTTGTAGAACTCGATGCATTACAGAAGCTTATGAGAATTGTACTTCTCAATGTTTGCAATTGTGTGATGTCCGTTGTTCGCCGCTGAAGCCGAGCTCGGCCTAGTCAGTCAAGGGGGCGCCATGGCACCCCTCGCTGCCAAGTCCACACTCTATGTCAATTGGAAGAAGGACGTGCTGCATTTGCTGCAGGACCGAGATTTCTCGACCGCTATTCGTGGAGGCCATCGAAAGGTCGGTCTTTTCGTCGGCCATTGCAAGCCTGAAAGAGCCAACGGATGTTTCAGCTGCTGTTGGATGACGGTGTGGATGATGATGCTTTGGTAGAAGCTTGCTCAACAGATGGGAAGGCGGGTAAGGGATATGTGTGGCATTTCGGCTGGAATGGATTCGCTGCTCAACTGCTGCTGTTCAGCTTCTTGCTCGAGTTCTTGTTGGTTATTTTGATTTGTGAGAGCTTGCTAAATACATCAGCAGTGACCCCTCCCTGCTTGCAGGATGACAAATGGGAGGCAAAATATGAGCCACTGGACTCAGGATGGGCGTGGGGGGCAGCAACCTGTGGCCAACGTGCAGCCAGCAGACTTCTACGCTCCAGCACTCCCACAGGTCTTTGTGAGAGGTTCTTCTTACTAGTAGCGAACATTGCTCCTAGTAGTAAGGCCAGCAGCCCCTAGTAGCGTCCGATCGCTCCTAGTAGCGTTAATGATCGTTGATGTTTCGATGTTTTGGGTGGTGTTTGTGTGTGCAGGGCAGTTCGTTTGGGGCAGAGAGGGGTGTTCAACTGACTTTGTTTGTCATCGCCAACGGAGCGTTTACGGCAAGTTTCACCGACAATGACAGGCGAATTGAGATTTCCCCACCACTAGGATTTGCATGAAGGGTGGTGTAATCAGGCGACTTCATTGAGCATCTCAATCTTTTTTCAAAAGTGTTGGATTGTTACCAGTAGCTTCTAGCTACCAGTAGAAATGCCCTTGTTACGTTCGTAGACATGCATGCCCTTGTTACGTTCATAGCTTCTAGCTGCAGCTGGTAACACCTGCAGCTGCATCACTGCGCGGTGACAACGTGACGACTGACGACTCGTTGAGGTTGATTTCCATCATCCCGAAGATCAGCACAGACGCTCGGATGGCTCGGAATGCTTGGACCCTGGTTAGCTGCGTCGCATCAGTCCATCTCAGTCTTCGGTTTGAAAGAGCAGGTCTATAGGAAAGAACTACAGATTGAAACCAGTCACCCACATTAACTGAACTTCAGACCTCCCCATCATTTGATGCCCAGGAATCGTATGTGGACTTGGTGCAAGGACGTTTCGGGCCCTTCCGCGCGCACGTGCCGATGAAGCTCCCTTTGTGGGCCGCCGACTGGAAGAACGGTGGAGGGGGGGTGCCACCATCAAACTCCAGAGTGAGACAGGGCTGTGTGGAGCCCATCGCTAGTACTCGTAGTGGGTGGAGGCCATCCCTAGTAGTAGAGGCCATCGCTCTTCTGTGGCATCGCTCTTAGGTTGGAGGCCATGGCTAGTAGGGCGGAGGCGTTTGGTGAGGTTGGCTTACCCTGCATGGTGCACTAGCTGTACACTCAAAAGCGCTGCGTCACCCAATTTCCACAACTGTCGGAGGTCTACAAATGTTCGAAACTCTCACTGTGAATCCACCCCAGCGAAACAAACACCGCCAGCAATCCCCAGTGCACTTCGCACCAAGAGCGCACACACGCAGAGTTGAAAAGAACAAAGAGTAGAAAGAAAGAACAGATAGTAAAAGAAAGAGCAGATATATGATATATGGCCTCCGAACTAAAAGCGATGGCCTCCAACCTATTAGCGATGGCCTCCAACCTACTGGCGATGGCCCGTGTCATTTGGAGCGTCGCTGAGGCCTTGGAGATGGAAGAGCATCAGATGTGCAGCATCGAATTGCCCCCATGGATGGAGGAAGATCAGCTGAAGGCACTGTGCACCGAGGAGAAGGCCAACCGGAACGGCTTCACTCCGCTGCCAAGGCCGGTCACTGGGAACGATCCAAGCATTGGAGGCCTTCAGAGTTTGATGACATGTTTTCTTTTTGTTTGTCTGTCTGTCTGTCTTTCTTTCTAATAGCGATGGCCTCCCAATAATAATGGCCTCCACCCTAGTAGCAATGGCCTCCAACCTACTAGCGATGGCCTGCAACCTAGTAGCCATGATTAGGGAAGCTAAGAAAGTGTACTTTGAAATGCCCAAGCTACCATTTCAAATCTCATCAAACCTCAGCGTGTCATGCACGTTGAAGCTAGGATGAAACTTCTGGGTGGACGTTGGCAATTATCATTCTGTGAAAGGGTGTTTATATGCGTCTCTTAGTCCCGGTTTGAGCAGCAAACAGAAGGCAATGCTGAGACGAACAAAGGGTCATCCACAGTAGTGCGCCAACGGATGCTCTCATTCGTCAAAGCTGCCCCATCGAGGCACTACATGGAGATTGCCTTTGCCTTGCTGCCTCTTCCAAAGGTGGGGATGGGTAGATGCCATTTCAAGTTGAACAGATCATCCCAGAGTTGAAGGTGGGTTCTCTCAAAAAACAGCACTTCCAGGAAGCGGTCCAACTCTTACTAACAAAGCTTCACGGAAAGCCGCCCCCAGCACCTACTGCTTTTCTTTGCAAAAGAGATGGATCCCAGGTCTTTGGAGGAAAAGAGAAGTACCGGCAACGGATCGTCTTGTTGCTGCGCGAGCTCATCGACGCTGGGACATGCTCATGCGTTGTGCTGTGCTCCATCAGATGCCGCAAGAACTCGACTGGAAAGAAGAACCGCTTGCGGTTCAGATCCTGTGTAGCTGAACAAAAGACAGGCAGGCTTTGGTAGCTGGTCTCATGGGGACTCAGACCATAGACGGTTGCAATGCGGTACCTTGCAGGTTCCACCCACAAGAAGGCATGATGCTGAAAAGCAACAAGGTGTCCATGCTCACCCAGCCGCCGGCATCACGCCGGGTTGACCAAGCAAATGTGAGGAACTGAGAAGGAGCAAGATTTTGGAGGGCATCAAGCTGTTTGATTCCTCCGGCGGCGAGTTCAACGCCTCTCGACAGCGAACAGGAACTTGGGCAAATCAGTACGGATCACTCCGCGTGCCCAAGGACTGAGGTCACAGATGCTCTTAGAATCCCTGCAAACCCCTGTGGTATGTCCAACCTGTTCGGACCTGCTTGAGCTAAATGGACGAATGAATCGGAACAGCTTTGATGTCTATCTAAGTCTGTAACCTCAACCCTGTAGCAAACCAGCAAGGGTTTCCCAACACCTTTCCTCGGCAATGTCTGACCACTCTGATGTCATGTTTTGTTTACAGACCAGTTACAAGGCCTATGGAAACTAAATGAAACTAGCAGTTGTGGTCGGGAAGAGTACCTTCTCTTTGGCCTGGAGGCTATATCAGTCTCTATGCGGCGTTGAAATTAGGCGCAGGCGCCCCCCTTCTTCATAAGTGAAGGGCATTGCTATTAGGTTAGAGGCCATTGCTATTAGTTTAGAGGCCATTGCTTCTAGGTTGGAGGCCATTGCTAGGAGGGTGGAGGCCATGGCTAGTAGATTGGAGGCCATTGCTATTAGGTTGGAGTTGGAGGCCATCGCTAGCAGGGTGGAGGAGGGTGGAGGCCATCGCTAGTAGGTTGGAGGCCATTGCTATTAGGTTGGAGGCCATTGCTTCTAGGTTGGAGGCCATCGCTAGCAGGGTGGAGGAGGGTGGAGGCCATCACTAGTAGGTTGGAGGCCATTGCTATTAGGTTGGAGGTCATTGCTTCTAGGTTGGAGGCCATCGCTAGCAGGGTGGAGGGCCATCGTATTAGGTTGGAGGCCATTGCTATTAGTTTCAAGGGGTTGGAGGCCATTGCTATTAGGTTAAAGGCCATTGCTTCTAGGTTGGACGCCATTGCTAGAGGCTATGGCTAGCAGGTTGGAGGCCATTGCTTCTAGGTTGGAGGCCCTCGCTAGGCCATCGCTAGTAGGTTGGAGGCCATTGCTATTGGGTTGGGGGCC